GGAAGCCTGCTTCTCCCTCTCCCACTCCCCCTGCTTGTGTTCCTGCTCTCGCTGTGTCTCTCTCTGTCAAATAAATAAATAAAATCTTTAAAAACAAACAAACAAACTCTTTTCCAGTTTGCTGTGAGTCCATCTAACTTCAGCAGCAGTGATTGTCAGGATGAAGAGGGACGAAAAGGAAACCACCTTTATTACAATTTCCCATGGGGAAAGGAGCTAATAGAGACCCTGTGGAATCTAGGAGACCGTGAACTTTTACACATGTGTCCTGGAAATGAGTCTCAATTACACGTATGTTTTACCTTAAGCTCCTATCCATCCTTTACCCATATTCTCTAACTGATCATTTCTGAAACCATTTGAGAACGGGTTGCAGACATGAGGCCCCATGACCTCTTAATACTGCAGTATGTATTTCTGAAGTGCAAGGACAGTCACTCAGGGTGCCCCGTGGGTGCAAAGTTTTAGAAGCCATGTGGATGGATAGAATTGTGGCTGAGCCCTATGCTGACCCATTCTTGAGCGGTTCCAGATTTGAATGTTTAGATTTTCTGACTGGCCACAGCTGGAGTTTTATGTGCTATTTGGTGACTAATACAGTCTTCTCAGTGAAGAAAGGTATTTGGAACTTGAAAATAATTAAAACATAGTAGTTCTCATCTTATTAGAGAAAGTAGATTAATTTTAAATACAAGCAAGATTAATAAAAAATTAAAAAGGTTATTTATGAATATTTTCCATAACCCCAACACCATCACATTTTATTTTGCGATATTCAGCTCTCATGAAACTTAACTTGGTTATCATAGTCATTATAGTTAAATAGTCATTATCATAGTTAAAAACCAATCAATCTTGTGACTAGGAATTTAATTTTCTTTCAAGTTCATTAATTTTTTTAGTAGTCTACACCCAACTCACAACGCCAAGATCAAGAGTCGCATGGTCTTCTGACTGAGCCAACCAGTCACCCCAATCTTATAACTAGGAATTTAAAGACAATCTCTTTGTCATGGCTGTTAGTCTCTTATTTTGTTCATTATTGTGGTAACTTTCACTGTCTCAATGAAAAACTTTATTTTGCAGAGTTTTACTCTCCGTTAAATTGTTGCTCTTCCATTTCCACAGTTCTCAAAATTGTTCATCATTAGTTGACATAATAAAATGTTATAAAATAATAAATAGAATTCCTGCCATTTTTTTTTTAAAGGAAGCTTTCATTTTTTTTTTTTTAAAGATTTTATTTATTTATTTGACAGAGACACAGCGAGAGAGGGAACACAAGCAGGGGGAGTAGGAGAGGGAGAAGCAGGCTTCCCGCGGAGCAGGGAGCCGGATGTGAGGCTCGATCCCAGGATCCTGGGATCATGACCTGAGCCGAAGGCAGACACTTAACAACTGAGCCACCCAGGCGCCCCGAATTCCTGCCATTTAATATGCTTTTTTGAAAGGCTTCTTAGGCTATTTTGTATTTGTTTTTAGTAAATTTTACAGTTAACATGTAAATATATTCTTGGAGGGATTTTTAGAGAGTGGTAAAGCAGATCAGTAAAGCCTGAAGAACAGAGTTAGGATAGAAATTCATTCTGGATGGTATGAGAAATCAGATATTTTAGCTAATAAGAGTTGCCATCGGATATCTCTGCATCCTTGGATATGAAATTTTCAAAGAATTAGAAAACAATAGGTGCACCAGGCTGGCTCAGTCTGTAGAGCATGTGTGCGACTCGATTGATCTCTGGGTTGTGAGTTCAAAGCCCCATACTGGGCGCAGAGATTACTTAAAAATAAAATCTTAAAAAAAAAAAAAGAAAGAAAACATTAAAGTCTTCTTAATATTTAAATATGAGTTAGTCTTTTTTATATTCAAATGGCACCACAGTAGCTTGCAGCACCTCAGAGTTATATTAAGTATCAGTTCTATAAATGTGTAAAAGACCAACTAATAAAGTTAGAATAGAATCCCAGATTTCAGGAAGTGTACTGCCTTTTTTTAAAATTTAAAATCAATTAATTAACATACAGTGTATTATTAGTTTCAAAGGTAGAATTCAGTGATTCATCAGTTGCATATAACACCAGTGCTCATTACATCAAGTGCCCTCCTTAATACCCATCACCCAGTTACCCCATCCCCCCACCCACCTCCCCTCCAGCAACCCTGTTTGTTTCCTAGAGTTAAGAGTTTCTCATGGTTTGTCTCCCTCTCTGATTTCATCTTATTTTAAGAGTATTGCCTTTTGAGGACAAATTTACATTAATCTTTACAGTACCATATGCCATTAAAATGGGTTTAAAATGCCAATACAGGGGCGCCTGGGTGGCTCAGTTGTTCAGCGTCTGCCTTCGGCTCAGGTCATGATCTCAGGGTCCTGGGATCAAGCCCCACGTCAGGCTCTCTGCTCAGTGGGGAGCCTGCTTCTCCCTCACCCTCTGCCCCCCACACATGCTCACATACTTTCTTTCTCTCTGTCTCAAATAAATAAATATTTTTTTTAAAGGGGCGCCTGCATGGCTCAGTTGTTAAGCATCTGCCTTCGGCTCAGGTTATGAACCCAGGATCCTGGGATCAAGCCCTGCATCGGGCTCCCTGCTCAGCGGGAAGCCTGCTTCTCCCTCTCCCCCTGCTTGTGTTCCCTCTCTTGCTGTCTCTCTCTGTCAAATAAATAAGTAAAATCTTTAATAAAAAAAGCCAATACATATGTGTTAATGAAGACTGTGCTTGATCATGGATAATTAATAGAAGTTGAGGAATGACAAATTGTTTTTTTAAGTATTAGAGAATTACATGAATGTTCAGATGACTGTGATGATAGTAAAAAAAAAAATGAAGGTAGAACTGTTTATATGCAAAACCTTTTAGATTTTTATGATTGACATTGAAAAAAATTTGAGGTGATTATCAGTTTAAAAGAAAGGCAACAATAAGTCTGTTTATCCATCCCTGATTTATATCATGCATTATAGTATATTTTATATTCTTAATTATAAAGTAAAGTAAATACCCCAAACCGGGTTTTTAAAAGAGGTTTGCTTATTATAAAAACTTTACATTTCCAGAGATTATACTCCAAACCCCTATCCCTAACCATACCAGTTTTTTTCTCTAAGGGCCCTGCTGAACTTTTATTATAATATTATCCTCTTCATTATAATGCTCACCTAGGGACCATTGGAAAAATAGTGATGCTGAGGTCCCACTCCCATCCAGGTAGTTCAGAATCTCTCGGAGTGGGGCCCAAGCATAAAACCTTTACGTTTTAAAATTCAAGGCAGTTCTAATACGTAGCCAGTTGAGACTCACTGATCTAAAACCCTGATCTCCCTGAGAGCAGGGAATAGGTCATAACCATTTTTGTGGGCCCAGTGCCTAGCACAGGGTTTGCCCGGAGTGGATGCTTTGTAGAATGAATTTGTAAGTTTGTGTTCTGATTCTATAAGTCTATAGTTTTAAGAGAGAGCTCTGCTAACAGATTCTGTATTTTTGTTCTACTTTCCTGTGAAGGGCCGAGATGGACGAAAAAATGTGGTTCCATATGTTTTATCTGTTAATGGAAATCTGGACCGAGGTGTGCTGGCTTACCTCTATGATTCTTTCCAGCTCACAGAGAACTCCTTTACAAGGAAGAAGAATCTTCATAGAAAGGTGCTTTTGATATTTCAGAAATAAACTTGGGAAACTAAAAATACATGTTTTTCCATCATATGTTAGTGGGCTTGGATTTTTAACACAAACTGTGAATAGTAAATTTCTTTCCATGCAGGTTATTTTACATTTTTCATTTTTTAGAATCTGGCCACAGGAGTAATAAGCAGGTTCTCACAGAATAGAACAAGGCATTCCTATTGGGTAATCTCAGAGGCATTTCTCTTTGATCCTGGCAGACAGGTAGAGAGCAATCTCTGATACTTAGCCCCTGAGCCTTTCCCTCAGTGGCTTCCATTTATTTGTATCAGAGTGTTAAGCAGGACTATGTCAGACTAGCAAGACTTGTGAGATTGACCTCTCTGCTTCTAGTCTGACCGCAAGTGGCTATTCACTAGATCACAGGAGCTATCTTTGGGCCTGGGTCAAGGACATGTTTATGGGCCCACAATCAAGAGAGAAGAGGGACTGAAGCTATAGGAAAGAAAATAAATGCCTAAAGAAGCGAGATTTTGGAAGAAACATGAAGGGTCAAAACAATCAAGAACACCAGTGGAGGGATTGGTCTTGAAAAGGAGTTATTTGAAAAAGCACAGAGGAGAGAAATGATGGTATAGATATAAATAGGCTACCAGGGCTGTTTAGCCTTTGAAGGAAGTTTTCCTCATATCCTCTATTTTCTTAGGGAATTAGAAAGCAGGATTATTAGCTTAAAATGTGGAGGAGTAGAGGTTTAAGTGGCAAGAATTTAGAGTATTCATATTCCCCTTGAATGTGAAAGGGAGCTGCCCCAAATCAAAAGTTGCAACATGTTGAGTCCTCAACTGGGTTTGGAAACCATGAATTTGTAGTACCACTTTGCATAGCTGAGTGATTTATTATGCAGTGTTCATTTAGCCTGATATGCCCATAAAGAAAGTCGCATTATAGAATTGTTCTAGGGCTTGGAATTTATAGGATATATAGCAAACGAGGGATCCTTTCTTTCTCTCATAGCCCACATCCAAATCATCAGCAAAAACCACTTGACTCTGTCTTCAAAATATATCCTGAATCTGACCATTTCTTACCACTTGCCCTCCTTCCACTCTGATCTAAGCCACCACCATCTCCTCCCACTAGCACTGAGTGGCCCTTTTAAAAGGTACATGTTACTTGGCCCCGCTGCTCAGAACACTCCACTAAGCTCCTTGTTTCCTTCAGAGGAAAAGGCAAAGCCCCTGAAGTGTTTTACAAAACGCTTCCCTTTTGACCTCCTCCTCCACCCCCCACCTTACTCACTCTGTTCCAATAGCACAGACCCCTTTGCTGTTTCTAGAAAATGTCAGTCATGCTTCCAGCTCAGAACTTTGTCATTTGTTCTCCCCTTTGCCTGAAATGCTTTCCCTCCAGGATCCAGAACCACCTTTTAAGTCTTCGGTCAAATGTCACCTCAGAGAGACCTCTTACCACCTTATTTAAAATTGCAAACAGTCCTCTCCAACCCACCCCTCTCCAGCACTTCCTATCTCCTCCCCCGCTTTTTTAAAGCACTTAACCACCTTCAAATATATTATTTACTTGTTTATTATCTCTGTCCCCACCATGAGGGGCAAGGAGTTTTGTCCCTAGTATCTGGAGCTGTTCCTGGCACCAAGGAGCCATTCAGATGTTGGTTGAGTGGATGGATGAATAAGAAGAGTGGTAGGTTTTGGCAAGAGAAAGTTCAATTGATGAGTCCCATGGCTGGGGCTGGGTAGGGAGGGCAGTGATACCCGGAAGGAGCATCTGGATTGAGGGAAAATGGAGTTGTCAGAAAACGGGAGAGTATCAAGTGAACTTACTTCTGCAGAACATCTAGTGGAGAAATCAGTGAGCAGCTAGATGATAGCCAGCTGAGTACATCATTACATGATTGATGACCTCAGCTAGCTTCCATTTTCACACAAAATTTTTATGGTTTAAGAAGTTCCATGTTTGATAGTGCTTGTGTTATATTTAAACAAGATGTGCTATCCTTTCCACCCCCCCCCTCTTTAAATTGCTTTAGGTACTTAAACTTCACCCTTGTTTAGCCCCTGTTAAGGTTGCTTTGGATGTGGGAAGAGGCCCAACGGTGGAATTAAGACAGGTGGGTTAAATGAGTTTTAGTATCATGATTTTAATTATAACCATTACTTCAAATAAATGAGTAACTACCGTTTAAAATTTTTATTCATTTGCTTTTTTAAAAATTTAATTAAATAGCTGTGGATAAATACTATGGTTTATTATAGATAATTTGAAGCATAGTATATAAAAGAAGCTGCATACAGCTCAGTGATTTTGCTGTTAAAGTCATGCTTACTCATAGTTGCCTTTTTCAAATGAGTATGCATAGTTTTGGTAATCAAATATTCGTACAGATGTCTAGTGAATTATTTCTTGCCCACTTACATTTTTAACCTAACACTTTTGATACTTATTGGCATAAGCACAGGTTCTAGATCTATACCTTATTTTGGTTCTTCTAATCTATCTGGTCTAATTAAACACTCTTGAGAAGCCAGGAGGGTGGTTTTAGTTTCTTTCCAGACACCCGTTCAGCAGTCATGCTGGGTCCTGGGTGACTCAGACCCACCCAGCACCTGAGTGAGGACACTAGCAAGATTCACCCAGCTTTCTAAGGCTCCTGTGGAGAGGTCTGGGAAGGTGGGGATAGTGCACTCAGGGGAAGGGAAGGTAGTGGTCTAATTTCCATTTTTCCCCCTGGGGTTGTGGCAGCCTCCCCAAGACCCTTGTAGTAGAAGGTCCTTGGGTTTTTGTTTTGTTTTGTTTTGCTTGAAGGACAAAAAAGAACTCTGCTCCCTAAATTTTTGCCATTGCAATTGCAGGTCTTGTTTTGTTTTGGTTTTGTTTACGTATAAGAACATAGTAGTATTTTGTCCCTTGGGTGTTTTTAATTTACTGAAAGAGAGTATGTTGTAAATCTCATTCTGTTTTTAACTTTTTTTTTCCCTCAGTGGTAGCATAGAACATTCTGGGTTATGCAAGGGGTTTTGCTGGTTATATACATGGAGATGGAATTTCTGGATAAAATGGACACATATCCTTAATTTCACTATTGTCAGTGAGATTGTCTCCAGATTGTCTGCACCTGTTTGTATTCTCATGGTGTGGGGGTTCTCATTTCCTTACTCAGGCCAGAGCTACTTCTCTTCTACCTCCCAATAGGAAGAGCAGATGTTTTTGTTGTCAACCACTAACTTTTTAAAATAAAATCCACAATGATGTTTATTTTTCTCTGTTAACTTCTTAGACTTATTAATATTTATATTCTCACCTATCCCCAGAATATCAAGTACCTTCACACTCATTGGTCTTTCCCTGGGAACTTGTTAGAAATGCACATTGTTGGTCCTCACCCCAGAGCTGCTGAATCAGAGACTCTGGTAATGAGGCAGAGCAACCTGTGTTTGACAAGCCCTCCAGGGGATTCCAATGTCCGCTGAAGTTTGAGAAACAGTGCTGTAGCTCAAGCATGCCCTGCCCCACCCACCACGGCCACCCTCCCCTGCTGGGCCATTTGGTGTTGTCTGGCGACATTTTTGGTTGTCACAAGTGGGAACGGGAGTGCTATAGGCATCTCAGGGAGGCCACAGATGCTGCTAAATATCCTAACGTCAGCAGTGTAGAAGGGGAGAAATCCTGCTCTAGATAGAGTTTTAGCTCTGATTTGTTAGGGGTATTTAAAATTTTTCCTTTGGGAGCGCCTGTGTGGCTCAGTCCTTAAGCGTCTGCCTTCGGCTCAGGTCATGGTCCCAGGGTCCTGGGATCGAGCCCCACATCGGGCTCCCTGCTCCTCGGGAAGCCTGCTTCTCCCTCTCCCACTCAGCCCTGCTTGTGTTCCCTCTCTCTCTGTGTCTCTGTCAAATAAATAAAATCTTAAAAAAATAAAAATAAAATTTTTGCTTTGTTTTGCCTCACCATTGCTTGTGAAGAAAACAGTAAAGTTTATTATGTATTATTGTAAAATATGTATATGTATTATGTAAAATATTATGTAATATTACTCATTATTCTGTATTTCCAGTCAGGCTTTGTGTCCAGCATTCCCACTAAAACCAGTCATTCTCTTCTTGAAACGTTTTCTTTAGTTGGCTTCAGAACACCACTCTCCTCGTTTTCCTCATACTTGTCTGGCTACTCCTCCTTTGTTTCCTTTACTGGCTCTTTCTTCTCTTTCTGACGTGGTGGTGTAACCCTGGGGCTCAGTTGCCAGCTCTCAGATGAGCTCACAGTTAGCACGGCCCTTTGCACTTACTGCTTTTCTCTGACAGAATCTGTTTTGGTTTTGTTCCTGTTTTGAAGGATAATGATGATGATAAAAATGCTTATATCTGTTATAAAATTTTCTCTTAGGGAAGATTTGCATTTCGTATTTAGCTTTGCAGTGCTTAATTTCTTCATTTTCAGAGGAACTATGCAATTTATAAGTATACAGTTATGAATTGTAAACAATATGATCACATAACTATAAGAATTTATGCCTCATGTTAAGAACTGAAAAAAGTGATTTGTGGTTTCACAAAAACAGGGTAGTCATTCTAGCTACTTTTACTTTGTTCATATTTGAACTGTTTGTATTTTTTTCCTCAGGTCTGTCAAGGGTTATTTAATGAATTACTAGAAAATGGAATTTCTGTGTGGCCTGGTTATATGGAAACTGTGCAGTCCTCATTTGAACAACTTTATTCAAAGTAAGATTGTCTTGTCACTAAAATATGTATGTTCAGAGTTTTTGATCATATGTTTCTTTACGAGTAATAGAAATCTCTTCTAAATATCCTTCTAAATAAATGTAAATATATATATATAAAATACAATTTAAAATTATTCCTAACTTTCCCATTTATACCCCATACCCCTAGTTAATTGCTACAGCAGGGAACAATATTCATTGGTATATTTGAGCACATATTATGTGCAAGTTCAAGACTTAATGTCATGTAGTATGTGCACCTGAGTTTATCATTTTATCAGGGATGCAATTATGTATATATGCATTTATTGAATCAGGATTGAGGGAACACGAATGGAGTGCCTTTTCCTTGTTGGTGCTGTGGTTCATTCTGAGGCTGAGTGGAAGATAATTCCATCCCAGACAAGGGACAGAGAACTAGTTTCAGTGATCACCTCTATTCACCCAGTTGCTCCAGACTGATACCTGGATTTATTGTCCTTAACTCCTTCCTCTTCCTTTCTCTCCATCCCAGTTCATCACTAAATGTTGTCAGCCTGCCTCCTAAATAGTATCAGATCCATCTCTTTCCATCCTCACTGCACTACCCACATTAAAGTCACCAGTGTCTTTTGGCTGGATTCTTTTTTTTTTTTTAAGATTATTTATTGATTTATTTGAGAGATAGAGCATGAGTGGGGGGAGGAGGGCAGAGGGAGAGAGAGAAGCAGGCTTCCCGCTGAGCAGGGAGCCTGATGTGGGGCTCGATCCCAGGACCCCGAGATCATGACCTGAGCCGAATGCAGAGACGCTTAACCGACTGAGCCACCCAGGTAGGTGCTCCTTCTGGCTGGATTCTTGTAGTAATCTCCTGATTGATCTTCTGTCTCCAGTCTTAGCCCCTGCTATTTCATTAACTTCCATTTTTGAAGTAATCCATTCTTCCCTCCTTTGCGTTTATTTTGTTACCTTCGTAGCTTTTTGTGTTGAATATCTATCTTTTGGGTGAAAAGTTGGGAAACTTTATGTATTTCTCTTCAGTTCTCTAGTAACTTGTTAAAATCACCTTTCAGATGATGTCAGAGGAAAAATAAGTTTCTATAGATAAAGCAATTAATGGTTTCATTATATATAAAACAAAGTGGTGGTGCTTGAACTCTCCAGTCCCTGAGTTCTAAAATCTTATCCTTTGAGTCATTTAAGGATAATTGAGTGAACATTATCAAGTTAGAGTTGTCTTTTGAATGGTAAAGGCTTTATTATCCCAGAATATTTTTAATGAAATATTTATTAAGCGTACCTACTATGGTTTTTTTAAAAGGATTTTTAAAAAAGATTTTATTTATTTATTTGGGGAGGGGGTTGCATGCGCGTGCACATGCAAATAGGGGAAGGGAGAGGGAGACAATCTCAAGCAGACTTCACACTGAGTGCGGAGTCCACTGCAGGTTCGATCACACGATCCTGAGATCATGACCCAAGCCAAAACCAAGAGTCTGTTGCTCAACTGACTGAGCCACCTAGGTGCCCCCACACTTAACTGTGTTTTATGCACTTTGATAACCCAGTAAACAAGACAGAAAAATTTCCTGTTCTTACGAAGCTTATATTCTAGTAGGACAAAGTAGACAGTAAACAAGTAAACAGATAAATAATTTCTGACGGAGTCCTACAAAGAAAACAGACAATGAGATCATGTATCTTGGGTAAACAGAAAGAAGGCCAGTGTGGATATATTCAGTTATTGCTGAACTAGAAATGATAAGTTAGCATTCTAAGTTATATATTAAGTAAGCATGATTTTGGTATAATTTGTTGTATACAAGATCTTTATCAGAGTAGTATTGTAAGAGACTTTAGTCTAAAGTAATGTTTCTTGGATTATATACAAGTACCAAAAGTCTGAGATTATTCTGAGGTTCATCTATAATTTCACTCCAAATGATGTGTTGAGGTATCAGTGTTTATTTCTTAGATTTTATTTTCTTTTATGATTTTTCATCTATTACAATAAGTCAGAGAAACTTTCTGAGAAATTTACTTTGAATATGGTTCAGAAACTTTAAAAAAAGTGTTTTTTGGTCCAACTCTCAAGCCCTGCTTTTGAGTTTTATGACTCTGGAAAGTGGCCGGATTCTAAAGTAATTAAACCTGGTAACATGGTGAATTTACAATTTATATTTGTGCTCATGTATTTTGTTTAACTACTTTTTTCCTTAGATATGATGAAATGAGTATCCTGTTCACAGTTTTGGTTACTGAAGCTACTTTGGAGAATGGGTTAATACATCTGAGAAGTAGAGACACCACAATGAAGGAAATGATGCATATATCCAAAGTAAAAGACTTTTTAATCAAGTATATATCATCAGCTAAGAATGTATAGATTTTAATATTTGTGTAATAAATATTCTCCTTTCCTAATTTGATTGTCTTATATTAACTTAGATTTGTTTTTAGCCCCTTTACTCTTATGAAGTGGACATTTTTGGTACTTTTTTAATTCAGTTTTTATTACTTATATTTCTTAATGGATTACATTCTATCAGAAATATGTTCAGCTACAAGAAACAAAAATCCCACTATATTGGATTAAGCAAATTGTAGTTTGTTTTTCATAACAAGAAGTCTAGGAGGGTAGACTGTCCAGAGCTATTATAATTGTTTCCTCCATAGTTAGTGACCCAGGCTCTTGATACCTTTCTGTTCTACCATCTTGGCTATGTTGGCTTTTATTTTTATACTTGCTGCTTTGTGGTCACAGGGTGGCTGCTGTTTGTCTAGCCTTCTTGTCCACATTCTAGTTAGGAGGAAAGTCAAAGAGACAAGAGCTAACCGGCCAAAACTCTTCCCTTTTTAACTGGGCAAGTAAAAACTTTCCCAGACATCCCAATCAGAAGACTTGTTTACATTTCATTGGTCAGAGCTGGGTCACCTGGTCATCCCTAGGCCAGTCACTGCCCAAGGGAATGAGAATATCATGATTTATTTGGATCAAACACAACTTCTGCCTTAGGGCTTTGGTGGTGTCTTACCCCTTTGAAATGGGTTTTATTATCAGGGAAGAAGGAGTCTTTACAGAATCTGCCACATGTGTACTGTCAGATACTGAAGATTAACCTAAAACTAAACTTTAAAAAATTAGAACATTTATTGATTTTTGAAAAGCAAGATAAAATAAATGTTAGGTGGCATAATCTAATATTACAGTGTATTTTGTGTCTGGTTCTAATAGGTACATTTAAAAGAAATCTTTGAACTTTCATGTGCTGCTTCTGTTTGTGTTAATTATACTATCATTACTCACCTGACAAAAATTCCAAACAGAAAAAGAATAGTATAAGTAACCCCAAGTGCTATCACCCCGCCCAGTAACCATCAACCTGTGAACATCTTGCCTCATCCACCCAACAACCATCCTTCCATATCAGTTTGAAGCAGATTGCAGCTCTCACTTCATTTGTAAGTATTTTAGTTAAGTGTCTTTTGTTAACCATTATCACACCTAAAAAAATGAACACTAGATGGTATTAAGGAATTATTGACAATTTTCTTGGATGTGTGATAATAGTATTATGACTTTTTAAAAAAATGTCCTTATCTGAAAGAGACACATACTTAAATATTTTTGAGTGAAGTTACATGATATTTGAGACTTGCCTTAAGATTCTCCAGTTTAAAAAAGGTGGTGGAATATAGATAAAAAATAATAGTATCTCTCAGTTGTTGAAGCTGGGTGATGAGAACATGAGGGTTCATTGTATTACCTTTTTATTTTTGTGCATGTTTGAGAATTTTCATACAAAGTTTTTAAAAACCATTTCTTTAATATCAGATATCTACTCAGTTTTCAGTTGTCTCATAATTTCATAAAATTGAAGTTGATTGTTAGGTCTTTTAGTCTCTGTTTTTTTAAGAAATTGGGCTGCTTATTATGGGGTTTGTTACTCTTTGGATTTTGCTTATTGCATCCCCATGATGATTTAATCTGTTCCTGTCTATATATAATTTCCTGAGGATTTGGAAGTTGAATCCAAAGGCTTAATCAGTTTCAAGTTTAATTTTGGGGGACAAGATTTTTCCTAGGTTGTTGTGTTCTATCAGGAGGCAGTACTGTCTGGTAGCTTCTCTTTTTGGGGATGCTAGCAATCATTGATCAAAACAGTGATATCCTAATTCTCTTTCTTCCTCATTCATTAGCTAGAATACTTCTGTAAAGAAAAACATCTCATCTATTACTTGCTTAGAGGTGTGAGTGAGGTAGGATAAATGCAGATTTGTTTCCTTTAAAGTTGTTCTCTTTGATGTTCAAATTGTCCTATCTTTGGCCAGTGGGAGTCTCTTCAAGTTGGCCTGGAGTCCTTTTGACACAACTTCAGTAGTCTTTAATAGCTTGTATATTTCAGAGTTTCTGTAAGAAGTCCTGGTTCCTTTTAATGGAAAATGGTATTTGGAGGCTGTATCTGAGTACTGGGGATGCTCATTGTTAGAAGGTGGTCTTTGTTTCTAGGCCTTTTCAGATGTGTAAGTGTGTGTGTGTGTGTATTTCCCCCTGAATTAAAAAAGTCATGAATTCACACCAGTACTTTATATTCAAATTCAGCACTGCAGTGTGTGTGTTTGGGGGTGGGGGGTTGTTAATCAGCTTTGTTGGGATAAAATTTATATTCAATAAACTTACTTATTTTAAATGTACAAATTATGAGTTTTGACAAATGTGTAACCACCACCACAATGACAATATAGAACATTTCCATCACCCCAAAAATGTCCCCTCATGCCTTTAGGACTGCAGGGCTTTTACTTAATCTCTTTTATCATACATCTGTATCTCTTCCATTCCAAAATCCCAGTTCTCAAGAATACTGAGGGGGCTGGGGCGCCTGCGTGGCTCAATCCATTAAGCTTCTGCCTTCGGCTCAGGTCATGATCTCAGGGTCCGGGGACCGAGTCTTGCATCAGGCTCCCTGCTCAGTGGGGAGCCTGCATCTTCCTCTCCCCGTCCCCTGCTCATGCTCTCTCTCGCTATCTCTCTCTAGTAAATAAAATCTTAAAAAAAAAAAAAAAAATACTGAGGGTGATAATATAATTAGAAAGCCATGGCCTACAACTGGTCATTTGCTTGATTTCACCTTAATTGTGGCAATCTCAGAATTACCATACCAATATGACCACCATATGTCAACTTAAAAGTTTAAATTTCAGGGGCGCCTGGGTGGCTCAGTCAGTTAAGCAGCCCACTCTTGATTTCAGCTCAGGTCATGATCTCAGGGTCATGAGATTTATGTATTTATAAATATATAAAATCTTTTCTAAAAAAAGTTTAAATTTCATTTTTATAATTTAATGATAAGAGTGTTCTTTTTTTAAAAAAAAATTTATTTTATATTAGAGAGAGAAAGAGCACAAGTGGCAGAGGGAGAAAGAATCCCAAGCAGACTCTGCACTGAGCACAGAGCCTACTGCTGGGCTCGATCTCACAACCCTGAGATCATGACCTGAGCTGAAGCCAAGAGTCACAGGCTTAACAGACTGAGTGATCCAGGCACCCTGCTGTAAGAGTGTTCTTGAAGGCATTTGTTTGCTATGTTACACCACGTCTTCCTGTAAGGAAGCATGGGAGAAATTTCTCTCAGACAGTTGTGCTTCTCCTGGCCTGTTATTATATGTGTTATATGTTTGTTCATTTTGTTCATTCAAAGAAGGCTTTTTTGAGCACCTAAGTCCCAGGGACTGTAGGTACTGGGGATATAGTGGTGAACAAGATAGACCTTTCTAGGGGTAGACAGGTGGGAACAGACACTAAGCAGGTATGCTCATGGACAATTTCAGGTAATTTCAGATAGTGATAATGTTGTAGGTAATAGAACAGGATGATGTGCTAGATCATTGCTGTAGTTGTGTGCTTTGCCTAGGTGGTCAGGGAAGCTCGGAGGATGTGACCTTCAAACTGAGGCTGAATGATACAAAGGAGCCAGGTATGTGAGGATCTGGGGCAGAGCATCCTGGACAGAGGGACTAGGAAGTGCCAAGGCCCTTAGGAGAGAGAAGGTGTGGAGTGACCAAGGAGCAGAAAGCAGGCCAGGGGGGCTGGAGTAGGTGAGCAGAGGGGAGATGAGTAGAAGATGAGGTCGGACATGTGGTCAGGACCCACATCACTTAGAGCCATGGTGGCCACAGCAAGTCTTCTGGAAGCCACTGGGGCAGGAGGGGATGGTTTAAGTAGACAAGGGACATACTGTTATTTTGAAAAGATTACTGTGGGAATGGGATGCAGAGGAGTAGGAGGGAAGCAGGGAGACTTGTTAAGGAGCTCTGACAGGTGATGGCGGCCAGGACAAGACAGGGAGCAGTACCCTTCTTAGACCTGGCAAGAGGAGCCCCTGCGCTGGGCCCTTTTTCGAGCATCCTGCTCTGGCCCTTCTCCGTCTGCCTCCTTCCCCACAGGATGTTTGAGGGGCCAAGAAGGCATGCTTGGAGATCATTGTAGTCCTTAGGTGTCTAATTTTTCTAACCTGTAAATCAGTTACAACCTCTGGTATGGTGTATTGGGGAAGAGTTGAGGGCATAGTCCATGTCCCTCAAAGGTGGAAAGGAGAAAGGAAAAAACATTGAGCTTCAGGCATCACAGAACTGTTGATCATTCCTCTGGTTAGGTCTCCTTTACATCCTTCCTGAGAAGCATCACTGAGAGAAGGCAGTCTCCTCCGGTTGTAATCCACCAGCCCTGGGAGCAGAAGAGGCAGCTAGTCCTCCCCGCAAGGCTTTTGTGCTGCCTGGTATTACCCTGCAGGTACCACCTTTTCCCATTTTTCTATTGGATTATTGGTGGGTTGGTTTTTCGTTTTTCAACAATTTGTAAGAGCTCATTATATATTATGGAACTTCAAACTTCATCTGAGATGTGGGTTCAAAATATTTCCCCTACTTATTCTTTTGGCTTAGCTTATTTTTTTTTTTTTTTAAAGATTTTTATTTATTTATTTAACAGAGATAGAGAGCACAAGTAGGCAGAGCGGCAGGGAGAGGGAGAAGCAGGCTCTCTGCCGAGCAGGGAGCCCGATGCGGGGCTCAATCCCAGGACCCTGGGATCAGGACCTGAGCTGAAGGCAGCCGCTTAACCGACTGAGCCACTCAGGCGCCCTTAGCTTATTATTTTTAAATGTAATTTTAAAATGAGTCATCTAATTAAATTTAGCAATTCTTTATATCTTCTGAATTGTGAGTCATACCTAGAAAAGCCTTCCCCTCTTAAAGATCATTTTTAAATTCCTCCTTTTTTCTTCTAGCACTTCTGTGGCTTTATTTTTAGGTATTTTAACATTTGACCTATCTGACTTTATTTCGTTGCAGAGAATGAAGTAGGGGGTCCACCTTTTTTAAAATGTGATTCTAAAGTTTTTACACTATGTTGAATGGTCCATGTTTTCCCCACTGATTTAAAATGCCATATTTTTCATTCACTGAATTCCCATGTGTGTTTAGATTTATAGCTAGACTTCCGGTCCCATTCCATTGTTCTACTTGTTCAGCCATATGCCAATACCACACTTTAAACATCATGGTAGCTTTATAATGTTTCCAAACCTTACATACACATCCTTGTCCCTCTCTGCTGCCTCTGTCATTTATGTTTTCTATATCCTTCTTGAATCCTACACCCTTTATCTGTGTTTACTTTTCTTCCTCAAGTACATCGTGTAGTTCTTCAGTGAGAACACAATTGGAAAAACCTCTTTCTCTGTCTTTGTCCTAAAATGTCTTTATTTCACCCTCAGTCTTGATTGAAATTTTGGCTCATGTAGAAGATATTTTGAGTGGCCCTCTTAAACCTCCTTCCATTTGGTGGGGTCGGAAATCTAAAAGCATTACCATTCCCTTACTGCTGGGGGACGTATGGTGGTGAATATCTTCCTAATCAGATGCACATGCTCAGGATCTAGAAAGAAAGGAGGTGGTGATGGTTGCTGAGAAGCAGGTGTCTGCAGCAGCAGAGCTCCACGTTCCGTGTCTGGCCTCAGGTTTCGGGGCCTGAGGCTGTGGTGGTAGGTAGCTGCCTGGTCTCCAGATAGTAAAAAAACCTACAGATAAATTATTAAAGTGGAAGAGAGAGTTTAGTGAGGTTGCTAAGGGATACAGAATCAAACACAATAATATTGATGGTGTTTCTGTATATCAGCATGAAACAAAAACACAACTTATCATAGCATCAAAATATCAAGTACCTAGGAATAAATCTAACAAAAGATGTGTAAGATGTTTATGCAGGAAATAATAAAACACTCTTGAGAGAATCGAAGAAGACACAGTGAGATATTTGTAGTTCAGAACACTCACTGTTCTAAAAATGTTAATACTCCCCCAGTTGATCTATAAATTCAATGCAATATCAATCAAAATCCCTATCATGTTCAGGTGTTTTTTTTTTCTTTAAGAAAATACCAAGCTGACTCTTTTTTTTTTTTTTAAAGATTTTATTTATTTATTTGAGAGAGAGAGAATGAGAGACAGAGAGCACGAGAGGGAAGAGGGTCAGAGGAAGAAGCAGACCCCCAGCTGAGCAGGGAGCCTGATGTGGGACTCGATCCCGGGACTCCAGGATCATGACCTGAGCCGAAGGCAGTTGCTTAACCAACTGAGCCACCCACGCGCCCTGACTCTTTTTTTTTTTAAGCTGACTCTAAAATTTAACTGGAAATGCAAAAGGTCAAGAATAGCTAAGACATTCTTAAAAAGAACAAGATAGGAAAATCTGCTTTTTCAGTTATCAAAACTTACTGAAAAGAATATGGTACTGACACAGGAGAGATAAGTAGAACAATGAAACAGAATCTAAAGCCCAGAAGGAAACACACATGTATATGGACATTTGATTTGTGACAAAGATGATACAGCAGTTTAGTGGGGAAAGGACAGCTTTTCAGTGGACAGTGCTAGCGTTGGTGATGTTCATGTGTGGGAGCGGGGAGAAATAGGATGCTCATTTCATACCACACACAGAAACGATTCTGCGTGGTTGTAAACCGAAATATGAAAGTAAACAAGAAAAACCTCTAGTAGATAGTAATATAGAATAATCTTGCATGCCCTCAAGTTGAGGAAATACTTCTTCACCTGGACACACATACACAAAAAACACTAATCGTCAAGGAAAAGGTAGACAAATTAAGTTCTTAAAATTAAAACTTCTTTTCATCAAAAGGCAACACTGAGAGAGTGAAAAATTAAGCATCAGAGTAGGAGAACAACTATTAAAAAATAAGAAAAAGTTAAAACACCTCCTAGAAAAATAGGCAAAGAGCCTCAAACAGGTATTTCATTAAAAAAGGAATCCACATGATCTCTAAATATAGGAAAATTGTGTTCAACCTTATTAGTCTCAGGGAAATGCAAATTAAAATCACAATGAGATATCACTATATGCCCACAAGAATGGTTAAATTAAAATGACAGTGCCAGTGTTGGTAAAAACGTAGGGGGGTGAAAACTCACATACTGCTCAAGGAAATGAAGAGGTGAGGTGATAGGACCACTTGGGAGAATATTATGGCATCGTCTACTTAGGATGGGGATAAGCCCCATGACCCAGACATTGTATCCCGACACATATTCAGCATGGTTGCATGCAGTTGGGAAGCAGCAGACAT